CAAGAGACTCTCCCAGAGGAGGTCTCCATACCCATACAGCGACAGCTTGCCCTCCAACTGCACTGCTTTACTGACTCAAAACACACAGCTCTGAAGCCTGCTCTTACTGCTTCAACCTGGGACTCGATACAGATCCCTACCTCTCAAGGCCAGGGAACCTACAGCTAAAGCACTGAGTTGTTCCAGATCTTGTTAAGTGAGGGGAGCTTCCCTTACATAATCCTTGGCAAGGTAAAGCGGGAAAGAGAGACTAGCTTCATTTCATTTTTTAAAAGATTTATTTATTTTGGTTTGAAAGTAAGATTAGAGAAGAAGGAGACACAGAGAGATTCTTCCATCAACGATTCACTCCCCAGATGGCTGCAGTGACCAGAGCTGCCCTGGGCCAAAGTCAGAAACCAGGAGCCTCTTCTGGGTCTCCCACGTGGATGCAGGAACCCAAGCACTCGGGCCTTCTTCCAGCTGCCTTCCCAGGCACCTCAGTAAGGAGTTGGGTTGAAAATGGAACAGCTGGAGCTCAAATTGGAGTCTGTATGCCATGCCTGCAAGGCAGGCAGCGGCTTTACCATCTGTGCTGTACCCCTGGTCCCATTATTTCTAATCAATTGCATCTGCCACTGGCAAACGTCCATCGGAACCCATCCCAGAGCTTGAACATTCAATGACAGGAGATGAAATCCTGTCTAAAGAAATCTAGAAACACAGTCACTAACGTCTAGCTTCCTTTCCCTTACTGGCGTCCTCTGCCAATGACTGACACCTAGCAAAAAGAGTGCTGAGTATGCAATGCCTGCTCGCCCGTGTACATAACCATCCTCCGTAAGAAAAGATCTAGCTTCCACGTCCTCTCGATCTTTAGGTTGAGAGCTCAGCTACTGCTTCTTTCAGATCTCTGCAGAGCAGGTTTCACTAGGATACTGCCAACAACCAGCAGTGAGGTCGCATCTCACCTCTTTATTTTCCAACCGGTTTGTCTGACAGCTGTGCAAGAAACTGATGAGTTTGCTTCATTCTCTTTTCTTTTTTGTCTCTGATTCCCCTAGGCTAGCATATATTCCATAGTGTTTTGTTCAAACCACTACCTCCCTCAGTGCAAGTACAGAGGGCCTCGCCTCTCGAGGAATTAAAAGAGTTGCAGTATCATGACCACACACAATACAACTAATCTTTTTCTGCTCGTGTTGAAAGGAGAATTCCCTTTTGTGGGGAAGGCTGGAGAATGAATCCAATTAGGACACATCAGCCAAATGAAAGGAATGAATGAGAAGCATCAGCTGAATGTTCAGCCGTTCCTAACAGGTCTTCGGACTGTGCCTAGCACCAGATCAGCAGTCTGTAGAAATCCCAACACGTAGCCAGGCCAGGCAAAAGTCTGGAATGACCAAGTCAAGCCAGAGGCAACACACGCTTATCAGCAGGGTTTAAAATCCAGCCATTCCAAAGCAGATCTCAAAACACTCAGCAACAAAACACCTTGACTTTAGGGAGAAGAAAGAAAGGACAACTCAGGCACAGCTGTCAAGTCGTGACTTTTGCCTCAAGATGGCTGCTGTCATTACAGCTGCCACAGGTGCCTTTCCAGAGTCCAGCCCTGCCTTTATGGACTCCGCAAATCAGGAGACCAAGAAAGAGGAAAAAACATTTTTCTGGGACTTGACAGCCTGGTTAAGACACGCAGGTAGCACAAACTCTCCTGGGAAGAACAGCAATGAAAAGAGCTTTCTTCCCTCACTGATAAGACTGCTGCCAGCATGGGACAGCGTCTACACCCCTTTGCTTTCTTCTCTGAAGACCTACTCCTTGCTTTTCCCAGGATTTAAAACCCATGTTAACAATAAGCATACACAGCATGCCTTTCGTGGTCAGATGGCTCATTGTTTAAAAAGCTTCAGCTGCAAATCCAAAAGATTGTTACCAGATGCAATTTCTGGCTGGAGACTGGGAAAAACCTCATTTAAACAAAAGAGTATGTTGTGATTGGAACCAAAATGGGAATTACCTTTTAAGATAAGAACCACAAACATTTCCTATTTGAAAATACCCCTGCCAATACACCGAGGGGACCTTTCTTGGGCTTTTCATGAAAGTTGAAAATGTGACAGGGGGATGGCTGCCTGTGACAAAGCACGGCTGACCAACTGGGCCAGCGACTTTTAGACTTGTTTGCATTTTCAACAAGGCCACCACATCCATCACCTACTCTCCCTCAGCTTCCTCAATTAGGCAGACTTCCAATTAATTCCTTTCCAATCATTTTAGCTGCAGAAATACATTTCGTGCTTTCGTTTTGGCTCTAGGAGTGGATTTTTCAACCCAACACTTGGACAAGTTTCACAAGCGAATGCACAGCCCAAGCGACTGCCACTGGTGGATGAAGTCCCAGCCAACGGGGAAGAGCTCCTGAGCTGAGACACGCCTGGCCTGGCCTGCAGAGCCCAGCCTCCTGCGCCTGCGCGGAAAGGCTGCTTTCCACAAGCTTGTGCTGTGTGTTTGTTGGCTCTTAGTGGTCCTTAACCCTCCAGCTTCACTGTGTCAGCGACGCCCTGGGCTCTAATCTTGAAAGATGGAAACTGTGCAGGAGCCTGGGGTGTACTGCTTTCCCTCAACCTGAGAAATGGTTGTGGTGCAGCTGCTGGTGATGAGCGTGACCTGAAAAGGCTACACGAGAGACGTTCCACGGGGAAATTCCATCCTTAACGCCAAGGATGGCCTCCGCGGGGCCCCACTGTGAGAATGGCCAGCCCGTCCCCAGGAGGTGATGTTCTCCAAAGAGCAGAGAGCACTACTGCCTTCCTGGTCTCTACGTTCTCATATTCATTCTCTACCCCCCAACTTGTTGCAGGGTGCAAGCTATCACCCAGAAAGTCTTCAGTAAAGCAACGCTCCCACGCACTTTAAAGTGAAACCAGTCAGTCAGCCTCTGAGATTCACAGAAGGATAAAGGGCTTTCCCACAGAGTCAAGCCATTGCCAAAGTCACAGAAGGAAACCAAGCTGCTGGAAAGAAGCACGGAGCCTCAAACACCTGTGCAATCTGGCACAGTGTAGCAAGCAGGGGTCTTCCGTCAAGAGAAGGAGTTCTAAGGCCAGTGGGCCACATCCATACCCAGCCAGACTCCTGCAATAACGCCGACCCCACCAAGCGTGCTTGGGACACGGGCTGCGGGAATCTGTCCGGGCTGGAAACTGACAAATGCGCAGCAGCTGTGAGCCGCAGGTCATGCCTATCCTCCAGGGTCCGCCTTTTCCAATCCCAGGACAGCAGTTTCTATGATTAACTTGCAATTGCTGTCAAGGGTGTAATCAGGTCTGGGAAAGAGGCAAACTTTTCCCCTCGGTGAGAGGCCCCCTTTCTTCCAACCTCCCCTTTCCCCCAGTGCAAATCCTCAAGCCCCACCGTGTCTCACTTCCTAAGTTTCAGAAAAAGTGCGCTAGCGTGAGCCAGAATCGACAACGCTGTGTACACAGGCACTCTGGAGTGCTTCCTGCTCCTTTCTAGCAGTGGGGTTGGGGTCACTCGGTCTTTAAGATAGCAGCATGACAAGTTGTCTGGTTTGTAAGGACCACACAATAGCATTAGTTTTAGAACCAAATACATTTTCCTTAGAAAATTGTTTCCCAGTGTATTAAATAAATCATCTTGTGTCATCACAATCAATTCAAGGGGGGGGGGAAGACACCGGATTGGCTAGCACTCGAGGAGGAACCCCTCCCTTGGACTCTGCTTCGGGGTCACCTCCCTGAGAGGGTACAACCACACACATTTATCAGAGAAGGCCACTGCAATCAAAGGTGACACACAGTTTTACCAATTACAGCTGCTCAGGTGGAAAAGCAAATGCGCCGTAATGCTTTTGACAGAATTCAATAAAACGCTAATGACAATTCATTGGGCCGGTCACCTTTCATTCATTTCCAAGTAGGTGAGGCCGAAGTTATGAGGATGAACAAGACGAGGGTCCCCACAAAGTCGAATGGGAGAGACGCACAGGGGCTCGCTGCAAATGAAGATGTCCTAGCACACTGCACGCCAACTACACAAGGGAGTTGGGACAGCTCTGTGGACGAAACAGAGCAGCACATCGCATAGGAGTTGTCCCTAGCTCAAAGTGGTACAGGAGAAAGGTACCACACTGCCATGGGTACTGACGCTTTCCGGGCTCAAAGTGAATCACTGTGGGTCGGCTGCCTGTTGGAGGGAGGGAGTTGGCCCTGTTCTTCCTGCAGGCCCATCTTGGTTCCAGGCTCTGCTGGGGTTAAAGGAAGAGAAGCTGTGAGCAGGACTGGTCCCAGAACTTTTTGCAGAGTCTGAGAGTCGGCAGAGTGGACCGCAGGATGTGCAAGCTGAGCGATGAGGCCCAGCGCCATGGATCCTGGAGAACAGGAGCTTTTTGCGTATTTGCTGCCCCTGCATATATTCTCTCCACCCCCAGATCATGGGCGTGACCTCCTAGAACACGCACTTGACTCCCTGTCATAAGCTGCAGTCATGCACCTCGTAGTAGAGTGTGAAGGGAAGTCAGGTAGATAACTTCCGGATCGTGTCCCTAAATGTGAGGCTGAGGACGCTGTGCCTTCTTCCCCTCTTCTCCATTCTCAGCCTGAATTGTGTAATGGCTTCAGAGCCATCCTGGACCACCAAGAGGAGGCACATCTTAGAGATGGCAGAATACAAAGTGGTCGCATGGCCTGGGAACTGCAATACTAGCCCTAACCTTACCAGTGTATGTGAACTTCAGTAAGGAGCCGGGGGAAGCTCGGACCTGTGTTAGCCAAGGTACGCACGAGTACGAACAGGGGTTATGGGGTCAACAGAATCCACTGATGTGTTGAAACAGCATCCAAGGAGTCGGCCCTTTGCTGCATCAGCACCATGGCCACAGCGTGATTCATTCAGTCTGCTTTTCAGATGCCGGAAAGCTGAGTTCCAACGGCAAAGCGCAATGGCTGAGGGAATCCAAAATCATACGATTCTTCCGGTTATCGCAAGGAATGGCTTACCTTTTTTTTGCTACAGTAGATCTGCCATTTTTTCTCAGCTGGAAGTGCAAACATGGCCTCCCTGTGTTTGTCTGTGAGGTCAAGTTCATCCTAAGAGGAAATAAAATAATTAGTATGTCATAGGTTAAATATTCCTATAGGGAACATCATCGGTATTATCAGGGAAGGAAAGTGCTATCAAAGGATGCTTAGATGCAATTAAAACCAATCGGAAAGCCAAATGAAGACACAGCTCACTGCCACTGAGAAGGCACATTGCTGGCACGGGGAGGGCATTGGGGAGTGGGCACTCAAGGCCGCCTCACTGAACCAGTGCTGTGTGGTCTGTAGGAGGGACAAGGGCTCCAACCTCCAAAGTTGAGCAGGGTTAATCACGTGAAGGTGAGTTGGTGGTGGATGCTCTCAGAGGGGGCCCTGAATCACCTGGCGCTGGGGAGGAAAGTGACCGACAGAACCCAGACACAGCCGTGCTGGCTGCCTTGGACCCACGGGCTTCGGGCGATCGTGGGCAACTCAGCCGAAACACCAGCTTTATGCAAAGGCTTGTCAGGTAAGGAGTGCGAGAGGTAGCGACTAACCCACGCGTAGAAAGGCCTGCACGGCACACTAAGGAGCTCCTGAGCTCGAAGACGGAGCCACTAACATCTTGAGCAAGGGAGTGAATCCCACCGAGCACTCGCTCAGGACTTTCTGCGCCGGCATTTCTGAGTCTGCAGCATAACCTTCCCAGGTGTACTCATGGTTCCATTCTGGTTACAACACAGTTGGGAATATTCAGGCTGAACACTGGGTAAAGCCAATGGCTCCAAGCAACATGAGCTCTAAGTGAAGGGTTCGATGCCGGAGCCTAGAAGTCCACCCTCTCTGAGCTTGGAAATAAGATTTTCCAGTGGTGTCCAGTCCAGGCTGGACACCAAAGGACAGCCGACTTACAAATACAACCAATGCTGATAACAGGATAGAAAATACAAAGTGCACATTTGCTCTGGATCTGAGCAAGACCCACTAAAAAACTCCGCATCAGAGCACAGTGAGATTGAGAACCCTGAGGAATAGGAACAAGTCCCCTGGCTTAGAGTATCAGCCTGGCCTCTTCCCTTGCTAACCCCACTTAGGCACCTGCCATTTTACCTCAATAATAATAGTAAGTTTTTCCCTTTGCTTCACTATCAATGAAGTGACTCACAAGTTGTTGTTTGTTTGTTTGTTCAATATGGTATCTTAATGTCTCTCTTAGCATCCGGCTGTAGCCTTTCCCATGCTGCACATGGCCAGGATTTTCTGAAACCATCGTTAGTAATGCAGAAATTCTCAGAGTCAACAGGAGGGCTTCTCACGTCACTGCTGCTCCATGTCTGTAACTGCACAGCGGGAGGAGGTGGAGGCATTGGCGTTACGGATGCTGTTCAGTCTGCAGACCACATTTCAGAACCACTACCTTAAAACACAGTACAGGACCCAGCAGCGTGGCCTAGTGGCTAAAGTCCTCGCCTTGAATGCCCCGGGATCCCATATGGGCGCCGGTTCTAATCCCGGCAGCTCCACTTCCCATCCAGCTCCCTGCCTGTGGCCTGGGAAAGCAGTCGAGGACGGCCCAAAGCTTTGGGACCCTGCACCCATGTGGGAGACCAGGAAGAGGTTCCTGGTTCCCAGCTTTGGATCAGTGCAGCATTGGCCATTGTGCTCATTGGTGGAACGAATCATTGGACCGAAGATCTTCCTCTCTGTCTCTCCTCCTCTCTGTATATCTGACTTTATAATGAAAATAAATAAATCTTTAAAAAAAAAAAAGAATTTCAACAATGAGGGTCTGGTACTGTAGCATAGCAGCAGCGTAAGTACTTGGGTCTCTGCCATCCATGTAGGAGACAGGGCCAAATCTACAGGGAGTAAACCAGCAGATGAAGTGTTTCTCTCTCTCTCTGTCTCTCTCTCTCTCTCTCTCTCTCCTCTCTTTTCTAACTCTGAGAGCTTTTATTGGAAAGGCAGCGTTAGAGAGAGAGAAACAGAGAGAAAAACTTCCATCCACTGGTTCATTCCACAAGGGCCTCTACGGCAGGAGGTGAGCCAATCTGAAGCCAGGAGCTTCTTCTTGGTCTCCCACGTAGGTGCAGGGTCCCAAGGCTCTGGGCCGCCCTCAAATGCTTTCCCAGGCCACAAGCAGGGAGCTGGAAGGGAAATGTAACATTGGGACACTAAGCGGCGGGGCCAATATGAGATCCCAGCGCATGCAAGGTTTAGCCAATAAGCTATCATGCTTGGCCCTAAATACGTCTTTTTAAAAAAAGAATTTAAACAGTCAACAACCAAGAAAGCAATGAACGATCTTAGAAAAAAAAAAAATCATTACCAGAGAACGTGTTAAAATGTTAGAATTTTGGCATGCAGCTATTATACAGATGAAGTAATTATTTTTCTTCCTTTCTTCCTTCCTTTTTAAATTTCCTGTGAGTCACACACCTGCTCTCGCCTATTGATGAACGGCAAAAATAATGGCGACACAAATCACTTTGCAACATTCGGGTCAGTTACTGAAGCAGTACAATAACGTGGGATTTAGTTTGGGGAAAGGCTTTTGAGAGTTCACCTTTTGCTACAAACACACCAGCTTTTGTCACGTAAGCAGGGCTGCGAACCAGTGCACGAGGCCTAGGGTCCCAGTGCAGGATGCTTATAACACCGCCCTGTGCCGTTAGAGGCGGGAGCTTCCGCCTCCAGAAGATGAAAAAATGACTAGCTTTGAACTTAAAAAACTCACAGATGAATTAGGACCCCAGGGACACATGTTTGCACTCGAGACAAATGTTTGGAGATTAAAGAAAAAAATTACAAGGTCTCCGGATGTCATTGGGGATTCCAGTTCGAAAATGGAAAGGAATCAAATGAGATGAACAAAACGTCAGCTAATAATTGTGCCCTTTCCCTGCCTGCCAGGCATTCACTTACTGTAACCCTCAAATAGGATAAACTGCACAGTATTACTATTTCATTTTTCCTGAAGACGGAATCAAAGAGAGATTAAGCGGTTTGCTCACAGGAACACAGCTAACGAATAGTAAAGGAAGGACCTGGATCCCGACTTCCCGAAACGTAACTCACGTTCCTAACATTTCCTTTTGTGCTGCTTGGTCAAACAGTCCCTGAAGCAAGCAGGAAAAGGCATCCATCCACCGAGCGCTGGCTGGCCACGGGGGAGTTTCTTGTCACACACCTCTGTCCTACATCTGGGGTTTAGGAAATGTGACCTTCACCTGCTGTCAGAAGGACAACACACTCTCCATCGTTCTCTCCAGGGTTCATTCATAAAATCAAAAAGAATTTTCCCAGTGACTGCTGGACACCAGGCATTGTCATCGGCAGAGAGGACAAAGAGGTCACATTCCCCTGGGAGTAAAAGGGACATCGGATAATCATACTAACCCCGGGATGACTATATCGGGCTGAGTTTTCAAAGTCCGATAATGTGAAAGGCAGGACGGAAAAGGCAAATGATAACCATGCAGAGGAATGGGAATTACACAGGTACGAAGCATTGCACATACTCATCAACAGCTTGAAAGACACAAAGGGCCCTGGTCTCCATCCTATGAGCAACTGAAGGTCACTGGTGGACTCTTGAGCAGGGCACCTGGGTTAGCTAACATCATCAACGTAGCAGCCCAGGCCCCGCCCCAGCCCCGCCCCACCCAGCTCACCCCAGGCCCCGCCCCAGCCCAGCCCCACCCAGCCCAGGCCCTGCCCAGCCCCCGCCCAGCCCACCCCAGCCCCGCCCCAGCCCCGCCCCACCCAGACCCCGCCCCAGCCCCGCCCTAGCCCCGCCCTAGCCCCGCCCCACCCAGCCCCCAGGCCCCGCCCCAGCCCTGCCCAGCCCCACCAGCCCACCCCAGGCCCCGCCCCCGCCCAGCCCCACCCAGCCCAGGCCCCGCCCCACCCCGCCCGGCCCCCGCCCCGCCCGGACCCTGCCCCGGCCCCGCCCCGCCCGGACCCCGCCCCGGCCCCGCCCCGACTCCAGACACTGTAGGCATTTGGGAAGTGAAGCCATAGATGAAGCCCACTTAGCTCTCTCTTGCTCTCCCTCCCTTTCAGACAAATCAATTCAGAAGAACTCTAAAAGACTGGGAAAAACATTAATGACACTTTAAAAAAGTCAAAACATTCATTTCAAAGAGTTAACAGATGGGGAGAGACAGAAAGGGAAATTCTTCCTCCGTTGGCTCACTTCCAGGAGCCAGGTGCTTCTGCGCGGTCTTACACGCGGGCTGCAGGACCCCAAGCACTTGGGGCCCTTTGTGCTGCTTTCCCCAGGTGCTTCTGCGCGGTCTTGCACGCGGCTGCAGGACCCCAAGCACTTGGGGCCCTTTGTGCTGCTTTCCCCAGGTGCTTCTGCGCGGTCTTGCACGCGGCTGCAGGACCCCAAGCACTTGGGGCCCTTTGTGCTGCTTTCCCCAGGCCATTAGCAGAGAGCTGCCTTGGAGGTGGACGAATCAGGACTTGAACCAGCCCCTATATGGCGTGCTGGTGTGTTTTATGTTAACAAAAATCCACAAAGGTCATAGAAAATGGAATTAAAAGACAAATATATTTCGGCTTTAAAAATTTGAAATCTATGTAAACAAAGATCCGTCAAAGGATTTAGGTGAAAAAAAAATGTATATTGTAAAAACACTATACACTGATTTAAAAATATGTGCTAAAATAACCTCCTCTAACTCCATTTTCCATGAAAATTTGGGAGGACACTTGCATTTTATAATGTCTTAGAGAAACGATAGTTCTTACATATTTATGTAAGAAGAAAGGTCCTCTGAGGCAAACCCAGTTATAGAAACTACAGCCCTGTGCTTTATCTTAAAAATACTTTATTAAGCTCCACTTCCGAAAGATTCTATGCAGAGACCTCAGGAGTCCTACAGCCAGGAACAAGCAGGCAGCTGCAGAGGGAAATCTACCTAATGAGAACATAGCACAGTGCAAATCAACCTGAGGGAACAGACTGATTCGCTAGGAAGAACAAGGGACGGAATTGTGAAGTAATATACAATAAGGGAATTTAATGAAAGATAGACGCTTATTTCTAACAAAAATCTGTT